TCAGCTTGTGGTTTGAATGTGAAATGGCCATAAGAGGCTCATGTGTTGACGACTGGGCTCCAGCTGGTGGCGCTGTTGAGATGGGGCTGATTGAACCTTGAGGTGCTAACCTGATGAATGGGTCATCCCACTGAGGAGCTCATAGCTGAGTGGCCTGGATGAAGTGGATCACCTTGGCATTCTCTTTGAAGGGCATATCTTGTCCCCAGCCCCTTCCTGTCTCCTGCTTTCTGCCTCACCATGAGGTGAGCCACAGTGCTCTACCTTGTCCTTCCTTCTGTGATGCTCTGCTTTACCACATCTGGACCCAGAAGCAATGGAGTCAAGTGACCACGGAAACCTGTGAGATGTGAGCCTTTCTTCCTCTAATGTATCACTGTCTTTTGTCACAGTGAGGAAAAAAGCTAACACATTGCTTTATCCTTCTCTGTAACGGTGGACTGTCACCTCTCTGTCCTCAGTTTCTCTGACTTGGGGCTGAACTCTCTGCATTCAGGGTCTGCTAGAGGATCTCACTTCCTGCCCTCTTTTCATTGGGCAGGTCATGTGACTTGTTGTAGCCAATGAGCTTCCAGTGAAAATGATGGGCATGGCTCTGGGGCAAGATGCTCCCGACTTTCCCCCCGCATAGGCCATGGCAACCTTGGCTGAGTCCTGTGGACATGGGGTACAGTCCTAGTGGAAAGAAGCATGAGCAAGATGTAGGCCCTTGTTGTAAGTCACTAACTTTGTGGACTGATTGTTATTGCACTTAGCATGACCTGTCTTGCCTGATGTCACCTGGTGTGCTGTGAGAGCAGGGTGCTGGGGGAAGAACAGAAGCAAGGAGGCCTGGGAATAAGCCCTCTCATTTCTGGAGGTGACAGATGACAGTGCTGGGCCTGGGGCAACAAGGAATGGCTTCAGTTCCATGACAATGGACAAGGATAGGGGAAGAAAGCCCAAACTGAAGGTTGCCTATGTCCCCCATGTGAAGGACATCCAGACGAGGAAGTGGCCACAAGCTGATGTTTGAGAATAAATTCCACTCATCTCTCTCACTTTTCAGAACAAAGGAAAGTTCACATAAGAGAATGGAGAAGCCTAGGCCTGCGCCTCCCCTTGCCAAGGTGCTTTCTGATGGTGACGTCAATGATAACCAACCCAGCAATGGCAGTTGAGTGGCCTCACAGCGGGTGGTAGGGACTTGGTGACTACATTACCTGGGTCTTCACAAAGAGGTAAGAAGGAGACCCGAGTTCCTCTGCTTGTGTTCACGCTTTCCTCCCTGCTGGGTGCAGTCTCGGCCCAATTGGAACATGGCTTTTTAGGACAGCTGCATGGAAATAGGGTACCAGGGAACTCCGTTAGGAGAGTGGTGTCTGGGGAGAAGAAAGAGAAATGCAATTTAGCACTGTGGGTTCTCATTAAAGTGATCCGGCATCTCTGCCAAGGAGCAGCACCATTTAGACCAGGCAAAGAAGAGGTAGGCCTTGCAGATGGATCCCAGGGACCAGAGAAGAGGGTCACATGGCTAAGGTCAGGTCAGCTTTGGGTGTGTGGCTTTTCTGCTCTCCTGGCTGTCTTTCTCTGGAGAGCCTAGAAGCTGGGCAAAGGTGTCATCTTGTGTCCCTAGGGTCCCAATGTGGTCGCCAGTAGGCCCGAGGGACTATTTAAATTCACTGAAAGTAAATAAATGAAAAGTTAAATAAAATGAAAAAATTCAGTTTCTTAATTACAACAGACACATTCTAAGTATTGAATGGCCCCTGTGGCTGGTGGTGACCCCACTGGACAGAACACTCCGAACACTTCCACCACCATGGTAAGTTCTATTGGACTGTTGGGTAAAATGAAAGATATTCAAACAAGAAGTGAAGGGCTAGATGTGGGGGCTTGTGCCTGTAATCCCAGCTACTCTGGAGGCAGAGATCAGGAGGATCGTGCTTTGAGGCCAACCCAGGCAAAAAATTAGTGAGACCCCCCCCATGTCAATCAGTAAAAAGCTGGGTGTAGTGGGGCCATCTGTCATCCCAGCTACATGGGAAGTATAGATGGGAGGGTGGAGGTCCAGGTCAGCCTGGGCACAAAAGTGAGACTCTGTCCCATAAAGACCTAAAATGCAAAGGGTGTGGTCAAGTGGTAGAGCACCTGTCTAACAAACACAAGGCCCTGAGTTCAAACCCCAGTACTGCCTTTTCCCCCCAAAAAAGTGGAGGACTCTCCAGTGACTCTTTGGAACTCGTATGCCTCTCACCTCTGTCTCCCACTGAGATGCAGAACTGGACTGAGAACTCGGATCTCACTTAATCCTGGCACTGCTCACGTGTCCCTTAATCTCTGTGCAGCCTGCAAACTCCTGAGGCTGGCTGCTCTGAGGCAGCTCAGTTTGCTATTTCCCGAGCAAGGGGAGAGTATGCTAGAAACTCTCGGTGTTTGCCCACCCACTCTAGCTAGTCATCAGCTGAAGATGCTCTCCCCAGCATTGCCCACCTGCCCTGGGTAACCAGACATGGACAGCGTGAGGAGACTGGAGGTACTCACCTGTAATCCCAGCTCTGGGGAGGCAAAGACAGGAGGATGGTGGGGTGTTCAAGACTAGCCTGGGCTATATAGTAAGATCCTGTCTCAAAAAACAACAAAAAAGTGTATATGTATTTGTATATGTGTGTATATATATGTAGATGTGTGTATACATGTATATATATTTGCATATATGTATACATATTTGTACATCTCCATCTGTCTGTCTATCCCATAACATCTGACCTTGGCCACATGCTCCTTGCCCTCTGGTCCCTATGATTCATCTGTAATGACATATATATATGTATGTGTATGTATTTATACATGCATATATGTATACAGAGATGTATAGGTATGTATATATAGTATATTTGTTTATGTTTACATGTATATTTATATATGTACACATGTATATATAATTAGGTCGTTCCACTCCCCTGAATATATCATGTCCATGATTTCCATGGATTTAGAATAAAGTTTCCATTTCACTGAGGCCTCTAGGGCTCCTGTGACCCGTGTGTCCTCCTCCCCAACATCGCCTCCCTGTGCAGTCTTCTGTGGCCATCACCACTGTCCCCAGCAAATTCCTTGCCTGCTTTCCTGACTGTTGCTAGAGGCCTCCTGGACTGTCAGGTTCAAGAAGGAAGAGCAAGCTCGTTTTATTCCTCACTCCATACCCAGTGGCTGACTTGGTCTCCTGACATACAATAAATGTCTGCAGCGAAAGAAGGAATGACCTTGAGAGTGACGCTTAACCTCTTCCAATCTCCATTTTCTCACCTATAAAATGGGAGTACAGTAGAATGACTTTGCGATGTTACTGTAAGGCAGAAACAGTCCTGTTGACACTCAAATTGGGAGTTATTATTATTGACTGGTAACAAGTTCAAGGTACGTAACCAGTTCCCTCCAGAGCCAAATTGAAATTAAGTTGCCAACCTGGTACCCCGCCACCCCTGAATAAAAAGGATAAACTATAGAACAGGGACATGCTTCTGGATAATAAAACTACTGGGATCAGGCCATCGACCCTGACACATTCCGGCTATCCACTCCTTGGACCCATTGAAGGTTCACCGTTTGTCCCAGCAATGGTCTTTTGTAGTAGAAGGACCTCTTTCAGGATCGCCTCTGTGTGTTGTCCTGTCTCTTGAATCTCCTTCAGTTTGGAACATTCCTCTGTCTTTCTTTGACTTTCTTGACCCGGAAGGTCATCGTTTTGTAGAACGTCCTCAGTGAGTTTGCCTGCTATGCTAATGTGACTAGATTCAAGTCAGGTGTCTTTGGCAGGAGTGACACCCGAGTGACACCCAAGTGACGCTGTTGAATCTGCCAGGTGGCTGTGGTTTCAGCTCTTCTCGGTATGGTAATGATCACTTTAGCCACCTGATTAAGGGGCTGTCTGCCCACAGAGGACATCTCCACTGTGAACTTACCTTTTCCTCTGTCACTGGGAAGTGTTTTGTTGGGGAGGTTCTTTGAAACTGTGTATCTCATTTGTCATCAAATGTCATCTATTTATATAATTATGAAGTCACTGTATTATTTTATCTAGTGGATTATAATCAATTATGATCGTCATTGTTTTTGGAGGGACTGGGGTTTGAACTCAGGGCTTCATGCTTGAAAAGCAGGTGCTCTACTGCTTGAGCCACACCTCCAGTCCATTTTGTTCTGGTTATTTTGGAGATGAGGTTTCCTAAACTATTTGTCTGGGCTGGCCTGGAACTTGGATTCTTCTAATCTCAGCCTCCCAAGTAGCTAGGATTACAGGTGTGAACCACTGGCCTGGCTTGCCATTTGATCCTTCATTTTGGCCAGTGAGGACCATTTGAGCTGTCTTCTGCATGCCTTATGATACTTTGAATGCCCCTCGCAGTCTGGCACAAGATATTCCATGTTCTTCTGTCCTTTCCCTGAGCTGGTCTTGGAATCCATCATGTTCTCAAAAGAGCCCTAGTTCAATTTAGCAGAGAATATCTGGAAATAAAGGTGTTGACACTGGGTGTGTTTATCACGCCAGTGGACAAGAAAAGAGTGTGTGCATATGCACACATGTGCAATCTGTATTACTTGTAGACCTTTTTTCTTTAGATTGGAAAACTTAGTCATGTTGAAACCTGCTTCCAGTCCATCACTATGGAGTTCATTTTGGTTTTCTCCCTTCTGTGATGGTGAGAAATCCATTCATCAGCTGGGAATGGTGGTACATGCCTATAATCTCAGCTATTCTGTAGGTAGAGGTAAGAGGATCACAATCTGAGGCCAGCCTGGGCAAAAGTACGTGACCCTATCTGAAAAACAAAACTAAAGAAGCAAAAGGACTAGGGGTGTGGTTCAAGTGGTAGAGCACCTGCTTAGTGAGCGTGAAGCCTCAGGTTCAATCGTTAGC